GCCAACTTGAGAGGCCTGTGATCTGGGACAGAAGATTTAAGACAGTGGTTCTCAACCTATGGTTGGTGACCCACAGGCCGTATTAAAGGCTCACAGCATTAGGAAAGTTGAGAACTACCGATTTAAGGTCTTAAAGCTAGAGTTATTCCTTTACCAAGTAGCAAACAACTAAAGTAATCTCTGGGGCCCACCTTACTGTGACTCAGCAAGGACCATTTATTGGAAATGTTAAGTCTTGTTAGATCGAAACATAGGAAATTGCCAATATTTGACCAATTTCACTTATAGAAGAGGCAATTTCATGATGGTTCACAAGAACACAAATAATAGCTGTCTTAGCATTACTCAAGTGAACACCTATTACAGTGTTTGTTCTCTTTAGGGTAAGTAAGTAAGTAAGTTTACAACTATGGTTGATGCTACTGGTTAAACAGTTATTCTGGGAATAGAAAATTTAAATCAACCCACTTATAATGTAAATATGTTTTGGTATAATGTGCTTCAAAAAAATTGCTTTCACACACTGTGATTTGTTTTTCTTTCCTGTGGTCACAGAGCAGACACAGACTACTCAGCCACAGCTCATGCATCGGTATTCAGAAAGGAGACCTTACTTTTTCAGCCTGGCCAGGGCTCGGCACTTAGCTATTTAATCCCTATAAGTCCTTTTCATCTCTATGATGAAGTCTTATCAGAACACCTCCTGATCTGCTTAGCAGCGAGCCTTTGTCCAGGTTAGGAGAGCTGAACAAATAACGCACATTATGGCCACTTACCTCTAAGGGCTGGTGAATGCTGCGTGCTACACCAGGAAACAAATCCAAGTGACTCCTGTGGAATTCAGCACTGAAGTCTCTTATCTCAAAGGTATTTTGTTGGAGAGATTCCTAGTTGGGCTTCACAGGCCCCAGGAACCCTATAAAATTGAATGTAGAGCTCTGTGTGTGTGTGTGTGTGTGTGTGTTGGAGGAAATAGAAAGTCACATAGTTTTATTTTTCAAAGGATCTATAATGACCCCCCCCCAACAAGTTATGAATCAGTGTTTTGGTGGTTTCTTGTTCAGTTCCACAGAGAGAAGAACTGTCATTCATTCATTCATTCATTCATTTATTTGCCAGACACTCAGTAAAGATCTGCCATGTGCTCATCACCGTCTGGGGTCTGAGGTCCAAAGATGCATAGAACAATCCTGCCCTCAGCAGCTCAGGACCCCATGTTGTTATGATTCAAATTACTTAACCTCTCTAAACTGGAGGGGAAAATTCACAGAGTGCTTTTGAGGATCACGTGAAGACGCACCCAAGGAATGGGGGATTGGGAAAAAGAGGAAGCAAACCCAACAGGAAAGTTTGCAGCGGAGCACAGAAAAGGGGTCACCGCCTTGCCGTGGTGGGGGGATCAGGGAGAGTATTGTGGGGGCAGTGACGACTGACCTGGGATCCTAAAACTACAAAGAAAGAGAGTGATATCACCCAGAATCTGGAAACACTAAGCTTCCTGCTGTTTCTCTGCAGGCAACACCCAGAAAACTCACAAAGACCAAGCTGGGGGCACTGTTCTCCCCTCTTTCCTTTCAGCTCCATTTCCTCCCCAATGTGTACTTCGAGTGACCCATGCCATTCCTGCCCTTGAATCCTAAGGCTTCTCTTGAGGCATCTGGTCTCAGCGGCCCTGTTAAACATGAAGATGTCCCTGTCCCATGCCCCACTCCCTCAGCTGGGGGAAGCACTTGCCTGGATTTTTCTCATTCAGTGAAAAAGAAGCTCATGAGTTACTCTGATAAAAACATTCGCAGAAAGACGTGGGCAGCTCACACGTGGCCTCTCCTGTAGAGTATTAGGAACTATACTTCTTTCACTCAAAGGAGTAACTGGGGGAACTCCAGGCTCGGTGGCACAGTCTGGGAGGGAGCTACTCAGAGGCTGGACCAGCAGAAGGGCGTGAAGCACTCAGGAGCTTGCAGAGCAGCTGCCTCTTTGGGGAGCCCCAGTACCAGGTAGGGCCTGTGGGACCCAGTGCATGCTTAGAATTCTTTCAAAGAAGGCCTGTCCAATAACCAAATATACCTAGAATGGTCCGATCTTGACAGCACCCCAGGAGAACACTGCAGGGTCTCTGACTCTGCCCCAAAGTCCCCTTCTCTATTTTTGTCCCCTTCACAGTCACCCAGGCCCCCTCCCACACAGCACTGCCCAGACACCCATCCCTGGGGTGGTTCTGCACCCCACAGCCAGTCCTTGACTTTGCAAACTTAGCTCTCTGGTCCTTTTTAGTTGTCTGTATGTGCTATGCATTTTCCAATTCAGCTTCACACATGGAAGCAATTTTCTCTAGAGGGTGCAGCTGGGGGGACATAAAAGCTAGAAAAAAAAATCACAGTTTCCTTTATTGGATGAAGCTGTATAGATGTGGTCGATCCAGAAGGTGAAAGGCTCATGGGCCCTGCCCAAGGAGTTTCTGAGATTAACCCAACAGAGCGCAGAGGGTGGGAGGAGAGCACAGAGGGTGGAGGGGGCCAGGGTGGACTCGCCTATTGACAGACGAACATGGGAACTCGCCCCACATGAGCGGACTTTGTCTCTCCAGGAGCCAGAGGCAAAGTCTAGTGTGGATTAAAGCCAGCTAGCTACACTCTCTCACAGTGAGCTGTATTATTTTAAGAAGAAAGAAAAGTCATCTCTGTTACATTGCATAGAAAATGCGCTTCGTGTGTAGCTTGGGGTGATTCTTCTCTGTTTGTTAAGTTTCTTGTAACGCACTAGGTTTTGTGCTTTGTGTGGTGAAGAGAGCAAAGAAAGATCTTAGAGTTATCTTAGAGTTCTTCAAATAACAGAACTTAACATGTTAGACTGACAAAAACATACTTAGAGTAATTCTTATTAAAGGAAGATATAGTCTGGGAAGATACAGTCTGTGGGACAAATACCTGGAAGTTTATGTGTCACTTCCCCAGATGGGGAGAGCTAAAGCTTCTCTTTGCATGAAAGACTCGCGGTAAAGAGAGGGGACACTGCTTTTAGAACAGCGGCAGGCAAACCACCGTCTGAGCTGTTACTGGGCGTGTGGGCCTGCTGGCCCTGCTCACCACGGGGGCACTCACTGCCTGTGTTGCTTCTGGTTTTGTTCACACTAACTTGCCTCGTCCATGAGCCGTGTTGGGCTCCATTTTCTCAGCTCCCTTATCTCTGTTTTTATGCCTGTTATGACTCTTTGCACGTTGCATTGTCATTTATTTGCTCTTTCTCATTAAATTAAGCCTCTCGGAGATGGAGTTCCTATCACCTCTGCATTTCCAGAGCCTAGAACAGTGCCTGGCACTTTAATTCACTCATCCAACATCCATTCAACGCCCTCTGTGTGCCAGGTGCTGGGCCAGACATTCGCTATAGCAGGCTAGACAAAGGTGATAGACATGACAGTTGAGTGGGAAAGGGGACACTTAGCCAATAACACTCACACCCATTTAATTACCACATGTGTAAAGGGTACTTCTGAAGAAAAAGAATCAGATGCTATTGGAGAAAGGTGGCGGCAGTGGTGGGAACTGATTTAGAATCAAATCAGGGAAGTCTTCCCAGAAGCAGTGACAATCAGGCTGGGACATAAAGGATGAAGAGAAAGGTACAAGAGAAGGACAAAGATATTCCAGGTTGAGGGCAGGATGTGCAAATGTCCGGAGGCAAGAGAGCTTAGTGACTGGCAGGAAAGAAGACAAGTGTGCCCAAAGCATGGTGAACAAGGGCTAACTGGGGAGGCCATCCCAGCCGACCAGGCCAGGCCTGTAAATCCTGTTAAGGAATTAGGATTTTATTTTACGAACAACAGAAGCTGTTGTATCATTCTAAAAGCAAGGAAATGGCACAGTTCCTCGTAAAGGGCACATTGGGCAGGGTACAGCAGCTCACATCTGTAATCCTAGCACTTTGGGAGGCTGAGGCAGGAGGATCAGCTGAAGCCAGGAATTTGAGACCAAACTGAGTAAAAAGTAGAAAAATCATCCACATGTGGTGGCATGCGCCTGTACCCCTAGCTACTTGAGAGGCTGAGGTGGGAGGATCGCTTGAGCCCAGAAATTTGAGGTTGCAGTGAGCTATGTTCACAACACTGCACTCTACCCTGGCAACAGAGCAAGGCCTTGTCTCTAAAAGGAGGCTGGGAAGGGGGAGGAGTTAACAGTGGGACTGAAAAGGGGAGATGCTTTGAAAAGTCTGAGTGGTCTCTCAGATTGTTTCTTTACTTCTCTTACCCAAAGTACTCCTTCCAAATATAAACATGGATGCCCCTCCCTTTAAGATAGTGGGGACAATGTACAGCCTGGACATAAAAGATGGAACAAATTGGAAAGTGTGTTGATGGCCCTTGCAATCTTTTGCCTCAAGGTTTATCTAAAGCTCCACAGTTCTCTAAAACCAGAGAGAATAAATGAGTTGTTGCTGTATCCAACTGGTATTTGTCAAGTGCTTGTTATGGCTGTGGCATTGTCCTAGCTGTTGTGAGGTTACTGATCTTTTTAAAAACAAAAGCAATGCAAGATTACTGATGACAATTTGGAACATGGAAAAAGCATATAGAAAAAAAATCTGTGTCTTTAAGGGCACCACCCACTCTTGACATTTTGATCTATTTACTTCCAGACTTCCCCATTTTCATGTGTAAGTATACATTCGTTTACATATGTCATTATATCAAAATATGTATAGATATAGTTTCTTGTCCTCCATTCAAATTTTATTATAAAATAAGTAGGTCTGCGCCCACATTGTGTAGCAGTTAAAAAAATAAAAAATAATTATACACACCAAATAATTAATAAAACGTCTATAATCAGCTTAAAGACTAATAAAATCTGCACTGAATCAATGACCAGCCGGGTTAAGAGGAAATAATATTATTTCTCTGCTTGTATCTCCCTCCCTCCCCTAAGGTCTGGATGCTGAAAGGGTTTGTTTCCTTAACCTTGTTCATCTATTTATTATTTAAATTGCAGCAGGAGGGAACCATGGCTACTTTATCTAATTTTACACAGACAGTGGAAGATGTCTTCAAAAGGATTTTTGTTACTTATATGGACAATTGGCGCAGGAACACGACTGCCGAGCAGGAGGCCCTCCAGGCCAAAGTGGATGCTGAGAACTTCTACTATGTCATCTTGTACCTCATGGTGATGATCGGAATGTTCTCTTTCATCATCGTGGCCATCCTGGTGAGCACGGTGAAATCCAAGAGGCGAGAGCACTCCAACGACCCCTACCACCAGTACATTGTGGAGGACTGGCAGGAGAAGTACAAAAGCCAAATTTTGAATCTAGAAGAATCAAAGGCCACCATCCATGAGAATATTGGTGCAATAGGTTCCACAATGTCTCCCTGATAAGAGAGAAGCACCAAGCCAATCTCTGATACCCAGATACAAGGAGACACCTGTGCCTCCAAGCAAGTTCAAATTGCAATTGTTTGGAAGAAATTTCCTTCCTCTCGGCTGACAATTTTCATGGCGATTATGTGGTTAGCCAACTAAGACAGATGACATTTCCATTTCGGTGACTCATGCTTGCTGATTATCAGACACGCGTTTTGTGCTGAAGCCCTCTGTTACTTTCTGGGCAATGCAAATGTCATTTTAATCAATGCCAATAGTGAAAATAAAGCCAAATTGACGTAAAGTGCTTGGGCAGTGGCAGTGGGGATAGAAAGGAGAGATTTACAAATCACTGAATCTTCTTCATGAAACATCATTTGTATGTGACAAATTCAATTTATAAATAACCCAGATGCATTTTTCACAAGATGAGGTTCAAAATCTATCACGCTTGCTGGGCTGACGTAGGAGCACCGATTTATTAATCCTTGAACGTGGAGTCTGAAGTAATAAATGAACAGAACTATGAGGCTTCTTTACATGTATTGTTCTTCTGGCATTTAACTTATTTGGAAGTCTGAAGACAGAACGAACATTTCAAAGGGCAAATAATCCCTAGCAGAGAAGTCAAATATTTAAGAGCTACTTGGTGCAACAGAAGCATATTTTTAAACTAACACTTAAAATTTTGCAGAAAACTAAGCTTTGAAAGTTCTTGTCATTTAAGAAAAAATACTGTAAAGTTATAACATGGTTTTATAAACAACTTATTCTTTTCACTAGATTTTATTGCATTATGGTTACTTATTTCCATTTACGTTTGAAGAAACTAAAAGTATAGAAAGTGTCTAACTATCTGATGTCTGTTGCAAAAGCTGGACTAAGGTAGCTGCTTAGCATTTTGCACGGCAGGGTGCGCGGTATCATGGAATGTCAGGCTGATCATTCTACTGTTGGCAGACGACTTTGTTTATAGATGAGGAAACCACAGTCCACCGAGATTACATGACTTTCTATGCTAATTCAATATGGCAACATTGATCTCTCTGAATCACTGCATCATAGAGATGCATGAGACTCTCAAACCTGGAGGAACTCACAGTAGAGGGGGAGTCAGAGAGTGAACATCATTATGATAGGATGTGGTAAGGTCCTAACAGAGATCAACACCGAGTGGACAGAGCCAGCACAGGGGCAGGAAGGCAGGCCAGACACCAGGCAAGGTCTCCTCTCTGAGAGCAGCGGAGAATGGGAAGTCAATGGCAACAGAGGTGCAGGGCCTTAACATCCTGTGGCTTCATGCCTCCTAGTTTGCCCTGTGCGCTCTCCCCCTTCCCAGCCTGGGCATAGCAACTGTGTGCACAGCCTCAAATCTCAGGCCACTAAGACAAAATTCAGAAAACGAGCTCTTCTTTGAAGCATACTTGTGGGCCTCCCAGACCAACTACAAGCTTTTCTGTGTAAAACTAGAGTGAGATACATACAAAATATCCGTTTCCTAATGACAGATTTGCAGTTTTGCTAACAGAACTATTCCCTACAGTGTTTGAGAAAGCCATTCATATTCCAAGAGCAGGTGTGGTGACAGTGGCCTGCTCCCTCAGATCTGGAAATGCTGTCCCACGCAGAAACATACATCCTGGAGAGGTCAGAGCAGCAATCAGGCTATAACTCCCAGGCCTCTGCTCTTCGAGGTTCCCACCAGATGACAAAGACTTCCTCTTTAGACACATGAGCCAGGCTCCTCTGAGTCCTCTTCTTGACTGAAGCCTGAACTTGGTCTATAAAATCTGCAGACTATTGGCACAAATGATTTCGTCCACCGATGCACACTAAGAGACTTGAACAAACACTGGCATAGTTTCTACCAGCCAAAGGCCGTATCCTGAGGGTGACCCCAGACCCCCTTAAAGTGCCTACCTGAGAAAAATGAATGCTGTGTGGAGAGTTTACTATTTGTTCTAGCCAGGTAGCAGGTAGATAGGCCCACCCCAAACCTCTTGTTGGACCAATTACTTTAGAAAGTTTAAAATTATAAATCCTTTCTCTCCACCTTTGAGATGTAAATCTTCTACCACACAGACTTGTCTCAGAAGTTAGTTTCTCCTCCAGATTTGTGCCAGTTCACAAACCCAGGTCACATTGACCAGCCATTTCCACTCATCATACATTTCCACTTCCCTGATCCTGCCCCAGCCCTGCCCCTGCATTCTGTCACCTCTGCACAAATGGGAGTTGAACTCAGTTCATGCTAGACCCTCTTCCCTATTGCAATACTTTCCCTACTGCTTTAACTAGTGTCTGGTTTGTTTACCTTTGACACAGGAAAACAATCCAGGGAAAGAACCTAGGGTTTCCTATTAAGTACATTTAATTATTATCACCGAAAGCGTAGGTGGTAACATAGAGGTTTATCAGGCAACTTTACTTTCGGGAAAAGCCAGATCTCTATGAGCATGTTTAGGTGTACAGTGGTTGAAGCTGTGTGGGGCATTTTGCCATGTGAGGATCACCTCCCACCAATTTAGGATTTCTACTTTCAACTCAGCACCTAAAAGTGCCAGTTCAAATGACTTTTTCTTTACCCTGATACGGGGTTTCCTCCATTCAGGGCTGGACAACACCCCGATTTTCCAGGCCCATGCAAATAGACTTTTTCTCTCCAAACTGTACTCTCTGAATAAACGTAAGACAGGAGAAAAGCAGTTTTTGCAGTATTTCATGTAAGCTAGGCCATTTTGGACTGGACCTCCTGCTACTTCCCCATGGGCAGGGGCAGCTGGAAGAACTGCATCCATTTGTTAATACTCTTGTGCAGTCCCTCTGGTGCCTTTCCTTCCTTTTCTATTCCTTTCTATGTAATAAATTCTGTCTTATCACTGATCTCTGTGGTCTGTGGGTTCATTCTTCAAATCTTCACATCTTCAAGACCAAGGACCTACTGCAGAAAGAAATTCCCACAACACTACCATTTGCTTTTAGAGTTCCTTCTGCCTGGTCTACTGGCTCCACTCGACTTGGGTACCAAGTGGAACCTCAGTAGGTTGACTACCCAAGGGACAGTAATAAACTGGTCAACATGTGGAGATGGTCAACATAAGGACCTAGGCCTACTGTGCTGACATGCACAGGTGGTACATGTCCAGTCTATGAAAATTAAGTCAACTTAAGGAGGCAGTCAATATAGGTAGGTGGTCAAGTATGGAGGTTCTACTTAAAAAGGAGAACATGGTAGCGGCTGATCTGATAAACTCTAGATGCAAATTCTAGGGTCAAGTCCCACCTCAGACACTTGTCTTTGAAACACTGGAAAAAATTACTTCAATCTCTAGCTCCCACTTCTTTATGTGTGAAATAGTTATACAGGTGACCCTGAACAACATGGGTTTCTTATAAGCAAAGTTTAACTGCAGTGCCCCAATTCCTAAGTTGTTCAAGGCTCAACTGTAATTATTCCAAGTCCTTTATTATTAGGTTATGAAACTTTGAGCCTCAAAGTGCTTAGAACAGAGCAATTTTTGTTGCTTTCTCTGGGAAAACTTCCCTTGTCAACCAACACAGTTTGCTCGCAGCTCTGCACCCCTCGCATCTAGTACTTCTCATCACGGAGTTAAACTTAGACCGCCTGGTTTTAAAACTCGACTGTTACTGCAATTTTAGAATTTTCTAGCGCCAGCCCCTAAATATCCCCTGGCCTCAATTTCCTCATGCCTGGAAAGGTGAGTAGATCACTCGGCGAGAACTGTTAAGAACATTCTGTCCTGCTATCTTTGTATTGGGGGTGGGGGTGGAGGTAGGGTGGGGGGGTCCAGTTTGTGCCTTCTTATGGCGTGAGGACCGAGTGGGCTCAAGCTCTGCAATCGTTCACGAAACATTTGTTGAATGAAGGCACATGGGGACATAGTGTTGGGGATCTCCACCATTATCCTTGAGGAAGGGGCTTGCAAATTGTCAGAGAAAACGAACGCTAAATTTGGACACTTCTTATGAGAACCTACAGGTCAGCAGAAGGCAGCAGAGGGGGGCGGGGGCGGGGCCGGAAATGAGGGAAGGCAGAGGGCGGAAAGACGCAGAGACCACCAGCCCTCTAGTTGCCGTCAGCCTCCAGCTCAGAACGAGACCGTATCACCGTCCCGGACAAGAAGTCCGGCACTCTTCCCATGGTTCTCCCTCCGCTGCTCCGCCGACCCACTGGGGTCTCCAGGGACCCACTGCGCCTGGACGTGCACCCGCGCACCCCAGGAGGCTGCCTTCGCTGGCTGCGCCTGCGCACACACTGCGCGCTACAGAAGCTGCTACCGCGACGGCTACCCGGGCCCACTGCGCCGGCGCGCGGAGCGCTGCATTTTGGGACATGTAGTTTTCCCCCGCAGCATTGTGGGAGTCGCGGATTGTTTGCTGGAGCGGCTCTGGCGGGCAGACGCCGGGAGCTGTAAGTGTGCGACGTCGGGGTCGGTGGGAGTATGTCCCGAAGTTGAGAGCTGTTTGGGATGCTAAAGTCTGATGGCTGGGCCTGTGCTCGCGTTTTCTCTGGAACAAACGCCTGCAGGACTCCGCCGCGCGGCGCCGGGTCCCCAGGTGGGGCCAGGGAGGGTGACAGCCGCCGCGGAACGCCCCGGCCTTAATGTTCTGGACACACTGTTCAGTAGAAGGGGTCTGGGTGCGGCAGGGGTCGCTCCCGAGTGTTGCGCGGGGCGTAGGGGACGAGGACTCCGAATTGCAACTCCACGGGTTGCCGAGGATGGGCCTAGGCCCCCAGAGCGGTTAGGCGACTTGCCCGGGTTGCACAGAGCTCAGGCATCATCGTGGCTCTTCCAGGGCAGGGACTGCCGACAGAGAGCGCGGACACTCCGCCACCCCTCCTAGCGTATCCCTGAAGTGATGGAGATGTGTAGTCTGAGCAGTCGAGATCCGGTGGGGCTGGTTTTCTAGGAGGTCAAGGCCCCTCCCCCGCCCCCGTACAGAGCGGGGAGGGCCAAGTGATGCCCCGGGTTCACCTGGTAGCCTCCTCCCCGGACCTACCCTTACCTAAAATGATGGGGTGCAGGCTTGGAGTGAAAAAGGTAGATACTGTGAATAAGAGAAAGTTCAGGCAAGGTCACGGCCTGATTAATGGTTGGAAGGAGTTAGGCACCAAGAGAGAGACTGACCCTTGAGTTTGTTAGGTGTGCCAAGAAGAAAACGTAAATTGCAGACATTATTGTCTATATTGCGTTAATTGTCCTAACCAGAATAAGCGAATATGGTTTTTATTTCTAGGAAAAACTTGGCAAATTAAAACTCAGGATATTTTTGCAGTTAGAGAAATAGAAGTATTTGGTTTGTTTTTTTGTTTAGTTTTATCCTAAGACTGGATAGGTCCAAGGGAAGTTTAAAATTTCCTGCACTTCATAGATTTTTAATGACTCTCAAAATTGGCTGCGTCCTGTTGGCTTTTGCAGTTCAGCTGTTAGATACCAGCTGCCTCTTGTTTCTAATATTGCATCAGGTGTACACATTGCAGCAGAGCAAAGCAGTGATATTTTTAGCTTTCTTAGTTCTCATTTGCAGGAGGCAGCAGGGTGCTATGAAAATGGCTGGCTTGGGGTATGTAATTTAAGTAGGGGGGAATGAGCAGGGCTGGTCAGGGGGGTTTGCCCTCTTGTCCTCCATTCCTCCAACTCCTGTTGCTTACTGACTTTACATAGGTTTCTTTCCTAAAGAGCTTGAATCTCATCACTCTAGGTCTGAAGTTGAGGCAATCAACGGTAGTATATTTTTGCACTCAGGTTCTGTAGTATCAGAGGGGATAGATGAGTTGTGAATTCCAGAATTGCAGAATTATTTCTTGGATACTGATTTTAAAAATGAGAACATTTTTACAGAGTTAATTGCCCTCACTCACATGCCTTGCCATTGGTGCCACCAAGAACAGAGTCCTAGTCTCCAGTTCTGGTCCTCAGGTTAGCCTATGCCCTGCTGTTTTGGAATGACCACATTTTCTGCTGGGTGCTACTTGTCTGTGTCCTTCAGCTTGGGGTGTCGGTTAGTGCAAGGAGAAAGATTTGTCGTAATAATGTTTAATATTTATTTAGTGCTTTCTGTGTGCTGAGCATGGTGCTTACTGTTTACAGTTCATTCTGAAGGAGAAGTTACAGCTGAGGGAGTTGAGGCTTCAAGAGGCCAAGTGACTTGTCCAAAGTCACACGGCACATTGTCAATAAACATAGCACATTGCTGGAGGGCCAGACCACTGGATGTTCTTTTTCGTTTATTTCCTCCTTAAAGATTTTTGGACCTGTTTGTTATCTTGACCTTGGGAATCAATATCCTAATCAATTCACTGGGTATGTAATTTGCTCTCAGAAAATTGTGGTAAACAGCCAAAGTCACCTACAGTATTTGTGTCCACCTGAAAGCAGGAATTTTAAAAGTACAATGTATTAAACATTTTATTTTAATATACAACATAGCTAATCCCTAAGATTATCAGAGATACAGTGAAAAATTCTAGCAACAGGTTACAAAGTGTTAGGGATATATTTCTTCATGCTTAGAATCTGCTGCTACTTAAAGACAAATGGGCCACTTGTAAAGGCAGGTAATGAGTACTATCAACCCAGGCAGATGACTGAGACAAAAATCTCAGTGGGGGTTCATTAAGCCAACGTTTTGAGGCCACATCTGTGAAAAACACAAACATCAGAGAAACTGTGGCTGTGTTTCTGAAGAGGAAGTTGGAACCTTCAGCACTTTTTTTTTTTTTTTTGAGACAGAGTCTCACTTTGTCTCCCTGGGTAAAGTGCTGTGGCGTCACAGCTCACAGCAACCTCAGCTCTTGGGCTCAGGCGATTCTCTTGCCTCAGCCTCCCGAGTAGCTGGGACTATAGCACCCAGCTATTTTTTTTGTTGCAGTTTGGCCGGGGCCAGGTTCAAACCCGCCACCCTCGGGATATGGGGCCAGTGCCCTACTCACTGAGCCACAGGTGCCACCCAGAACCTTTAGCATTTTAAAGGCACGTAGGAAGAAGGAAAAGGGCAGCAGGGAGGTGCGTAGGGGCAGTGATAAGGTGGGGCGGGGGACAGTGATGAGATAGTGGCTACCTTCTTGTGAGGACCAAGAAATCTACATTTTACATAAAATAAGGGGATGAAGGAAGCATCAGTTGTGGAGGTGTTCCTAGGTAGGTGCAAGAATGTCTGATTCTGTCTTATCTCCCGTTCTGTCACCTGTTTATCTTACAGGATGTCATTATTATTGTGGAATCCAATAGGCTTTAGTTTTAGGTGATAGACATAGGTACAGTTTGCATGTTCTTGCTTGTGGGAGCTTAGCAAGAAATTTCCTAACTGAATGCTCTGTGAGGCCAGCTCTTAGTGGTGCCTGAGAATGGGATTTTCTTTTTACTGCACCTTCAGTTACTGGGAGTACATATAAACAGATACACAGTTTAAATTCCTACTGTCAGCTTATCTGACTTTGAAAAAGTAATGGGGAACACTTGGCTATCTCATGCCAACCACTAGCTTGTTTTCAAGGTAGTATAACCTTGAATAGATTTATTATATTTACATGCTTTTGTAATCGAATGTTTTTTTGAAAACATCTTCTCTGAAGTTTATCTTATTCCCTTTCTAAGGGCCTGTGAAATTTCTGCCACTTTTCTTAGTTCTAATTATAAGTACATTTAAAGAAAAGCATTCCTGTGGTTTTTGAATGCAAAGCTCTCTGCCTGCGTCAGGATAATACTGAGGTTAAGGCCCTGGGACCAGACAGGATGGGTCTGAATCCCAGCCCCAGCTGTGAGACCCTGCATATGTTACCTAAACCTTGTTTTCACCTCTGTAATGTGAAGGTAATCGGCTACCTCACAGGGCAGTCTATGAGGACTAAATGAATTAGTTCATCTAAGCATTTTAGCATAGGTGAAGTGAAGCTATGATTACTATGCTCTCAATCGTGGAATTTCAGGGCCAGGCGCAGTGGCTCACACCTGTAATCCTAGCACTCTGGAGGCTGAGGTGGGAGGATCACTTGAGCTCAGCAGTTCTAGACCAGCGTGAGTAAGAGCAAGACCCTGTCTCTACTAAAAGCAAAAAAAAAAACTAGCCATGTGTTGTGGTGGGCACCTGTAGTCCCAGCTGCTTAAGAGGTTGAGGCAGGAGCATCACTTGAACCCAAAAGTCTGAGGTTGATGTGAGCTATGCTGGCACCATGGCACTCTAGTCTGGACAACAGAATGAGACTCTGTCAAAAAAACAAAATCTCGAATTTCAGAAAAAGTAGGAGCCCTAGACACCATCTTCAGCCTTTCTTCACTTACAGATGAGATGGAGATCTCAGAGGGAAGTCACTCACCACACTGTGTAGGTTTTTCCTGCAGAGCACAAGTCTCCTGGCTCTTGGAGTTTGTGTTGTAGAATTAGTGACATATGAGAGCAAACCTGTGCTCTGGGTGTGTTTCTGCCTTGTCACTTGCCTTACTCTAAGAACTCCTGAAGTGTCTCCCTGTGCTTAGAGGGAATTCTACATATGAATTGCTTTGCTAGGACAATTTTTTTGTCCTGTCACTTGTCCCCTTGTCTCCAGGTAATCTTTTATAAACCAAACGTAGCTTAATTAACACTCAAGAGAACCTGAGAAACAGATACTCATTCACAAAGTAGCCTTTGTTCAGAACAGGAGGTGGGTGGAGAGGCAGCCTTTGGATTTGAGCTCTTACTTCCACAGATGATTAAGTCCCCTCCGGAGTGGCACTGTGGTCTCTGCTGGGGGCTGAGGAGAGCTTTCTGGTGAACAAGAGCCAGGTCCGTCTTGGCCCTCACCCAGCCTGTCTGCTTCCCACCACGGTCTAGGTCTCCTTGTAGGACACAACCTGTCTCTGCAAAGCTCACTTTCTACACAGAGACATCTCCCTAAGGTGGTCTGCTCTAGAAAACCCAGACTTGACCTGTGTCTTTTCTTCCCACCCAGGTCAGACCTTCCACCTTCCTGAGCCTGAGCTTCTCTCTCTCCCTCCTCATGTGCTTGTCTGGAAGGGGACTGCACTGATCAGAAGTGAATTCACAGTTGGTTTGCCATGAACTGGAAGGTAAGAACAGTTTTAAATATTTGCGGCTTGGGTTTTTTCTTTCCTCCTAATTGTAAAAATTCAGAATTAAAGCTCTATAGAAGTAGATTAAAAGGAAAAAGTAGATGAGAGCAAAATACTATTTAATGTTTTAAGTTAAAATATACAAATGTACATTTATCCACCAGATATCTGGAAAAAGGCCAGACTTAAAGTTCTTTAAGTGTGGATCCACTAAGTTCAGATCTACTTGACTTTTCTTGGGAAAATCGTGCCTGTAAAGCTTTGCCTACATCTTAGTTTCTTTAAAATAGGTGCAATGGACTGAATGTTTGTGTCCCCTCCAAATTCATAAGTGGCAACTGTAGCGCCAGTGTGGTGTATTTGGAGGTGGAGCCTCTAGGAGGTGGGGAAGTGAGGAGGCCTCAGCTCTCATGAAGGGGATTAGACTGCTGACAGCTCTCTGGGCCTATTTCTGACACGTGAGGAGACAAGGGGAAGTCAGCAGTCTGTACCTGAGAAGAGGCTCTTCATTAGAACCCAGCCATGCTGTGTCCTGGTCTTGGACTATCAGCCTCCAGAACTGTGACAAATAAATGTCTCATGTTTGTAAGTCGCTCAATCTTTGGTGCTTTGTTATAGCAATCTGAAAGGATGAGGACAGTGGATTAAGATTATGAAGCAATCTGTGTACAAAATCTTTCCAGATTGTGATGCTCTTCCCTAATCTTTTACAGTTGTCCTGCCAACAGCATTATTATTTTCTAATTCAAACTTGAATCTTTCAAAGCATTCAATTCAGTTTTCATGGAAACAACTTTTTCTAGATGTAGCCATGTTCCCTAAGTGTCATGTTATATTAGTTATCTAATACAGCATCAAGGACAGCCTAAACGGGTTGGTGAGTAAACACCAATTCAGCTGGTGGGAGCAGTTCACAGGAAACCAGAGTCGCCTGCTGGCTATAAGCATTCAGTGGGCTGTGGCAACAGCATGTTTTACAGAGAGAAAGGAGATGCCACTTTTAATCCCTGAAGTCAATAAGGTGAGGTGGAGGTTAGAGCAGCCACTAAAATGTGATTATTTTAGCCACTTTGAAGAAGTGAAGAAGTAGAAGATCAAATAAAAATCTTATGTGATCTCACCACCCAGGGATGGCTACTATTAACAATTTTGGTATATTTTGTTACCAGTATTTTTTTCCCATACATACAAGTGTGGTGTGTGTATTTTTAAATGCAAGATCTTGTTGTATGTGTTCTTTTTAATTATTACAAACATTTCCTTCTTCAAAACCTCTAGCAGCTTTCTGCTTCAAGGAGAAACTGGAAAGGTCTGGAAGCAGAACCAGGGAGCTAGGGGCGTGGCTCTCTCTCTCCCCCTGCTCTGTGGAGCTTGGGTGACCCTGCAGAAGGGCTGAGGGACTCGTCTCCAGGAGGACGTGGTTGAAGTTAAGGAAGCCAAGTGAGCCTGCTGTGAAGGAGTGAAGAAACAGAAAGTGGGGATAAGATTGAGAGAGGCCCATTTACCACTCACTGCAGGGGCTAAGTCAGTGGGGGTAAGAGGCAGTGCCTGCTACTGAAGGCTGTGTCAACAAGGTTCAGAGCATTCTGTTTAGTGCTCCAAGGTGCTGGTTCTCCTACTCATGTGTATCACGGTCACTTTGAGGGCTGGTTAAGAGTTCCTGATTGGGTAGGTCTGGGGTGGGGTGTGGGCATTTGCGTTTCTCATAAATTCCCAGGTGGTGCTGATGCACGCTGGTCCAGGGTGCTGCAGGTGGAGGAGTCGAGTGCCATCAACCCACTTGACCACCCAACCCAATCCTGCTTGTGACATTTGGGAACAAAATTGGCCCAAACCTTCCCAGCAGAAGGGAAGCACAGGCAGATAGCACCATGACTTCTAGGGAACAGCCTTGTGTTTAAACACGGGCCCCTTCTGAGTAGTTTCAGAAAGGAATGGGTCCTGCCTATGCCTGAGTACAGAGAGGTGTGGCAGCTAAGGGCATCCTGTGGCCATTTCCTTCTGGCTCAGTGGGCCATGGCTGGCAGTGACATTCAGCACTACCTGTGCATTAGCCAGTTACTATTTAAGGAGTTAATTTTTCCTATTTCACAGATACTGGAGTTTTATTTTTCAAAATCAGTGTAGAACTAGTCTACCTCAACATTCATTTTCCTCCTTCAGGGTCTGCATGTTTCAAGAGATGTAAGGGATTTTCCTAGAAGGAAATCAGGGAGGGATTTAACACAACTAAAGCTTAGTGCCCTGGAGGGGGATAGGAAGGGCCCCCCCCCAACCCTTCTCTTTAGTCCTTTTTGTCGAGGGTCAGGGGTCCTGGTTCCCTGAACCCACTTGGGCTGCTTCAGTTACTAGGGGAAGTAGAAAGTTCAACCGAGGCACAGCAGGAATGGAAAGTGGGAAAACTGGAGCAGCCAGAGCAAAAGTAACTTCACACAGGCTTTAGTATAACAAAGAGAGATTTTATTTAAGAACAAAGAAAGCTTCCAGCACTTCCAAAGAGTTGGAAGTGGTTCCCACTCATGAGTGAGAAGACACACACACACACACACACACACACACACACACACGGGCAGTGTAGAGGTATAAATAGCCTCTTTCTCTTCATTTGAAAGTGTTCATAATTCTTTCATTGCTCTCTCTGCGTCTCCAGGTACCTTTGTCTTTTTCTGTTGGTCACTGATGACCTGGGTCACCTCAAACATCCTTTTTCCTTTTTTTTTTTTTGCAGTTTTTGGCCAGGGCTGGGTTTGAACCTGCCACCTCTGGCATATGGGGCCTTTGAGCCACAGGCGTTGCCCCCTTTTCCCTTTTTTGGTGAGAATTGCTGAGTGCTGATCACATAATAGTTCTTGGGGCCATCCAGACTCCCTTACCAAGCAGGCCAGGTCGGGAGTCCCTTCCATCCCTGTTGAAGCCCCTTTCTTTGTCCCTTCTCACTTTTTGTGTCTTTGACCTTTCCTGCCCTCGCTCGGCCTCCTCTTCAGTCCCAGACTTCTCTCCTGCTACTGCTGTTGAAAAGAAAGTAAATACCACAGCTACTAGCCTGCGCCCACTGGCCTGTGTGCTTCCATTTCAGTGGGGCAACTGCTGGTTGACGGTACCTCCCCTGTCAACCCCAGGGAATTGGGACTGTGGTGTGGCACCATTGTAGTAGGATCATATTGACACATCAGAAGAGATTTAGAGACTCGAAAGAGAGTCTCTTTGCCGAGTGAGTTAGTGCTTCAGTTAGCCTAGAAAATCCTAATAAACATGAAAAGAGGTTTACATAGCAATGATAGACATTCTTTACACAGCTGCTTTATATAGATGGAGGCAAATCTTCTCCTTTCTAAAATGTGAGCCTTTAAGAAAGCGAAGGAATTCAAGGGACGTTGGGGGGATGTGCAGTTAGCGGCAGTACTGAGGGTTAGAAGAGCCTGGAAGCCAAATCAGGATTCTAAGTTGCTTATATTTACTGGGGTAAAAATTTTTTAAGTGTTACTTTCATGACAGTTTTAGTCTTTTATACTTTTGCCAGAAGGCTCTTTCTGAAATGAGTATTTTATTTATTCTTTTCTGTTAAAATGATTTCATGGTTGAAAACTATTATCTAGTTATGGAATGTTCTTGTGTTTTTACTATTTCTATTAAAATGACTTTAATATTTGCATTTCCCCTCCCCCCATGATATCCATTATATTCTTACTGGATCACATTACAACCTTTTGCAAATATCCATCCATAACCAATTAAATGATTTGAAAGGTAGTGAGTTCAGTTGCCCCTGGTATATTCAGTAGCCAAGCCATCCCTTATTTGCGTAATTGTAAAATTGCTGAGGAGCACACCGTACGTCTTCCAGGACACTGTGATGGTGAAGGTCAGCTGGTCACACCACTCTCCCTCACTTTGCGTGTTCTCAGCTCCACAGTCAGGACCGTCCTTCATGGAGAGAGCATGAAAAGCGTAGGGCACTTAGCACCCTGGAAGTCCCTGGCGTGCAGCTGCCAATGCTATGTCTTCTAAATGTGAAGTCCACATCTAGGTCTAAGTCGTGAAAAATTTGAAAAAATTATGGGAACGTGTATGTACATGTTAATAAGTGGTGATTTCATTAATTCCACCTCATTGGCAGTCAGGAATCAGGGACAGAGGCCCTCCTCACCAGGTGTGAGGGCTTCCGGGTCACTGTGTCCTGGTGCCTGGTCCAGGGTAGACTGTCCTGTTCTCGCTCCAGCCTCCTTGGGAGCGTTGAGCAGGCTACACAGGACACAGGCTGACCTCTCGCCCCTGGGGCTCTGCTCACCCTGCTCAGGAGACAAGGAGGCAGACTAGACTAGGTCATCTCGGAAGCTCTTTCCAGCCTGGAGTTCTGTAAGCATGTTGTTCTCACTAGTTTCAGGTCACTTTTAATTAAACTAACTGCTAAAGGGAGGTTCGTAGGTACTCTCTGTAGTAGAACATCATTTTATTGGTATTGCATATAATAAATGATATTTGGCAATTTAACCTAGTGGCTTCATTGGAATAAATCTTAGTCCTCTAATCATTACTCAACAGAAGCATACCTTTATTTGGAAAGGAATTTTTATTCACACAAAAAGCTCATAATTATATCATTCAGATCACATTAACCATGCGTGTGAAACTATTTCATATGGTATTTACTTTGAGATACCATTTTGATATATGGCATTTCATAATAAAAAACCGACTAGTGCAAAGAGTGGGTGATTCAGATCCAGTTACTCCCCAGACTTAATTTTAGCCAATGGGTTTGTGGCAGCAGTTAGTCGGTAGTGAAATTTTAATGTTTTATGTTCTGTTGTATTTTTTTTTTTTTTTAATGTCAGTGCTAAGGAGTTGCTGGAAACGAGGGAATCAGAGGGTGCTAGAGCTGAGGGCCCAGAAGGAAGGTCTGGCCAGCCTGACTTGCAGGTGGAGAGCCAAGAGCTTGAAAAGGCTTGGAGACTGTCCCAGGTCACACAGTCCAGCAGTGGCAGGGACCTGGGAGGTCAGCAAATTGCATGGATTAGTGTGTGACCAGAGTCACCGCACCGGTAGCTGACTCATGATCCTCTCAGTAGAGTGTAGCCTGCTGGCTACGTGGGGACAGGGCCCTTGTCTGCTTGGTCTTGAGCGTGAGCGTGAGCGAGCTACACTGGACACAGGTTGACCTCTTGGTCTCTACCATAGCCCCGCACCCCGTCTCGTACCTGTTGCAGAATAGGTGCTCAGGGAATATTTGTAGAGTGAGGGAATGTAAACATCCCACATCAGCCATGGAACATTTAGAATGGTTTCTTTCTTCCTGAAGGTTCTTGAACACGTGCCCCTGCTGCTGTATATCTTGGCAGCGAAAACATTAATTCTCTGTCTGGCATTTGCTGGAGTGAAAATGTGCCAAAGGAGAAAGTTGGAAGCAAAACAGCAAAAGCTGGAGGCTGAAAAGAAGCAGCAGTCAGAGAAGAAAGAGAACTGACGGAGAATCCAGGTACCTGACCTTGAGCTGGGAACCAGCAGCCAATGGCTTAGGGCTGCTATGCAGTAGGTGTGATAGGACTAGAATTCCAGGTCCCTTGGGTCTGGTGGGCTTCCTGAGCACACATGGCCTGCCTGTCCACTGAGGTGCAGATCCTGATCCTGGACCCTGCCCTTTATGGAGCCCAGGTGCATGGGGTATGAATTGACCCTTCTCTAAGACTGCAGTGGTTTCTGTAGGTATTGGGACTCCTCAGAATTTAATGACAGCCATTCTCCCCAGAGAAGCAGACATACCCCAAACACCTGCAGTTGTGTGTATACTTGTAGGTGGAAGTGGAGAAGGAAGAGATGGGGAGTCACAGGTCATTGGAAACCTCAAGATTAAGAAACCCTATTGTCTTCAAGATAAAGCCTGACTCCTTGGTGTGGCAGATAAGCCCATGTTTCATTTGCCACCTCTCCCGCCCACTCCTTGTGCTCCCAGAGGCCATGTCTTGGCCGCCATAGACCTTCATGCCCCTCAGCCTTGCTGGTTAGTCCCAGACTAGAGGGCCTTCCCGACAACCTCCTCACCAGGCGTGAGGGCTTCCTTGTCACTGTGTCCTGGTGCCTGTCACAGTGCACCCAAAAGGGCTCAGATGCACTTGTGGTGGTAAACACATCAGCGCAGTCTTGTTAAGCCTGGGGTACAGATTAGCACATGACAGCAGTCTCCTGGATTCTAGTGTGTTGATACAATCTCTTCATTCATCAGGTTGACTTCTGGGCTTCTCTGAAATAGGATTCAAATATGGTGGTAGGGGCTTCTAGGTCAGTGGTTCCCAAACCTGAGGATCAGAATTGCAGGGGTGCTTATGAAAATGCAGATTACCAGGCTCCTGCTTCAGAAATTCCATTCTGTCTATAGTTGTGTCTGGGCATGTATTTTGAAAACCCATTAGGTGATGCTTACGTAGTCCTCTCAGTAACCGGTCACCATGGGAACCACTGGGCTAGGTGACCTCCTCAAGCCCTGCCCACTCAGATTCTGTGTGCATGCAAACAGGATCCCCTTCCAGTGCTGTCAGACTGGTGAGGGTGCAGGCTCACTGGTGGTAACAGTAGCACCTTTGCTGAGTGATTGTTCTATGCCAGGCTGGCTATTTCGTTCACAGCTGGGTTATCAGTCCTGACTGCTGTGTGAGGCATATCCAGGTTGAAAAACAGTGACTCACAGTGTTCCTGGTGAAGAGCAGGAAACAGAACCCAGATCAAAGCCGTTTACCCAGCATACCCAGCCCAGGCCTCACTGCCCTCCTGAACATAGGCAGGTGAGCTTCACTCTGACACTCACCGTTTCCTGCATCCACAGCCCTTGGCTGCTTCTCAGTGAGCTGTAAGCTTTTGCCAGACAGAAGTTACTGCTACGGAACTTGCTGGAAACTCAGGAGCAGGTGCTCGGACAGGGGAAGAGAAATGTGAAAGGGCGAGGGAGGCAGTTCACACTGAGATGCTGCTGGTTGCATTTATGTTCCTGACAGTCTTCATTTTATATGTTAAACTGAGAAGAGGAAGAAACCATGAGAGGTGAGATCACGAGGGCGGCTTCTGCCCTCAGACATGGCCAGAGGCCCGTGGATTGAGCAGGGCTGATGGCTTCCACGCCGAGCTTCGCACTGACAGGGGAGTTGGTGCCCCCCAGGCTGGCTGCCTCTCACAGGCTGGAGCTTGCTTTAAACAACATGGGATTTCAGGTGAAAGGGAAATAGCAGTGCTGAAAGTACATAATTAATAGATAAACTGGAATAGTTTCTGTTCGACAAGTCTGAATGGCTGAACGTGAGTGTTAATTTGAGCAAGTAGAACATTAGCTATAATTTTGTCAGCGTTTCCTTCCCGCTTAGCACTTGCTTTTCCTTTCTAGATTTGCAGTGTAGATGTCAGCTCGCATGGACTCTGGCCGAGAAGAATCACTGAGTGATGTGTCGGAGGAGAAACTCCCAACGTGTACCCTTACCTTAAAACAATGTGAATTTTTGTATGCTTTTAAAAGAACTAGTATTTTATTTACTAAAATAAAATATCTTTGTAAAAAGGGTGTCTCTAGTCTTTGGAATAAGTCAAGGAGAGTGTGTATCTCACGCTGTCTCACCTCCGCACGCACCTGTGTTGTGAGAGGAGGGAGTTCTGTAAACTTACACCTCTGCCAGTGTTTCCAGCTGGGGGTCCCAGGAGGACAAGAGAAGTAGCATCTGCTATGGGCCCCTTGCCCTCCCTCTCCTCCAGGGCCATCACTCTGTGCGCGCGCGCGCGCGTGTGTGTATGGTCATTGCTGCTGTGTGCTCATCGTCCAGGAGAGCTGGCCCCTGTGCTGACCAGGAGGGCTCTCACCGGGAGGAACTGCAGGGTGGGAGCCATCTGCCCTGATGGGCTTAGTCCTGTTATGAAAGAATAAGAGAGCCCCCAGTGGGTTTTGTCCTTTCCAGTTTGCTTTTTGGGACTTGCAGAGAAAGGTGAAGGGCAGAACAGTCAGTCACAGGAGACTTCAGGAATCAAGAGCAGTGGCGATGGTAAGATTGTTCACTGCTCAGCACCCAACACATCAGCATCTCCAGGAAAAGGTTCATGTTCTCTCACCCAACACATCAAGATCTCCAGGAAAAAGTTCATGTTCTCTCACTTCCCTCAAGATGCCAGGGTGGCAGGGAAGGAGGGAGCAGTAGCCAGAGCTATGTATACAGTAGAGTGTCTCAGTGCCAGTGGCTGCGTGGAAAATTCGCAGGAGTGTCTATTAACGGGGGGTAGGGATGTCTGCCCTACCTGCTGTTCCCAGCTTGGTGGAAGTTTGCATTTTCAACCTGCGAAGTGGAGAATTACAGTCACAATTTAGGAAGCAGGAAAGAATTCACACAGGATGTAAGTTCTAAGTACAGAACAGACTTGGCCCTACAAGCTGCAGACCTCACAGTGGTCAGAGGGGGACTTTAACATAAGCCTGCGTTTACCCCAGTTCCCTATAGGAGGCTGCTCCAGACTGCCTGGGAACCCCAGCAAAGGGGCCACTGGATTCCGGATCCACTGCACCAGAACCAGCTGGAGAGAGACGAGGAATTTGTGATGTGAACATCCCGAGGCTGCCTTTTCCCTCTGTGGCCTGGGGTCCTGTTGGAGCAGGAAAGGGTGATGAGAGCAGGGGCGTGATGCCTTTGGGTTTCTGCATCCTGCAATCTGGTCTCCATGTTCCTGGTTTGTCAGGTCCCCTTTGCAGCTGACCAGGTCCCCCACTCCCACCCACTGGCCCTGCTCCAGGGACCTGGCCTCTGCTTGTGGCCCACCCTGCAGGACTGGGGCTTTGCCTGCTCCCACCGTGTCTGACGCAGACCCTCTGTGAGCACCATTTCCTCCCTCCTGCACACCCAGCCCCATAAATCCAAGGCGGCAGGTCTGGGCTTTCTGTGGAGAAGCAAGTATGCTTGCCCAGTAGATATTCGAGTATAAGCGCAGGTTTGGGGATTTGTGCAGTCTATGGCCATCTTGTAAAACACGGAAGATGACAAGGATTGGAATGAAACACTGAGGATGCTGTGAGTTTTCTGTAAGGAGCGTTTGGGTTTTGCTTTATTTTTGGTTGCCTTTCCTATATGCTCCCGCACCACTAGGGGGAGGTGATTAGCTGCTGATTGGAGTTACTGACAGCAGTCCATCCCACAGGTACACAAAGTGATAGATTTGTTGTTTGATTTTAAATAATTGGTCAGATGCATGTGTCATGTAGGTAGGAAGACAGATTGTGAAAACCACTGCCACAGCCTCCATCTGGTCCCAGCTATCCAGCAGCCTTCTGGACCGTGACTGAGGATAAACGTGAAGGAGGTTATCCTCTTTTCACAGATAAGGAAACTGAGGCAGGGAAGTTAATATCTGAGGCTAAGATCCCCCTGCTGGTTGGAGGCAGAGACAGGGTTCTCTTCATGGCTGTGCTGTCGGGTCCGAGTCAAGTAAGGAAAAGCGAGAACTTCTGTACTTCAAAGTCGGAGTGATGAAATGGTCAGGCCAGCAGCATCGGTGACACAATGGGGACAGAGGCCAGGCTGTGGTGAACTGGGGAACTGATAGGATGGGAGAAAGAAACAGCTCTAAGTTTGCATGAGCTTAAGAGTGTGTGTGTGTGTGTAGTGTGTGTAGTGTCTGCAAAGTCAGGAAACAAACTTAGGCCCACATAGTAGTTTAGTAGCAAGTAACTGGACAGTTTTGAATTATTTTTCCCGTGTTTCCAGATGTTTTGGACTTACTGTGCTTTTCTCAGATTCAGTTAGCCCCATGGCTTTAAACTTGGAGCTGCATCACCTGAAAACATAGCAGGCTGATTTTTTGAAAATATTAAGAAGATATTGTTTAGAAAGAAGTTAGCCTATGTTTCCGAACTTTGCAGCATCCTGAACACCTCAAAAGTGAGGAGAGACATTGGCAGCCTTCGAGGAAGGTAGGATTGAAGGAATGAGTTTTTTGGAAGGAGGGAGCTTGAGCCTGCTGACCAAGTGCAGGAGACCCCAGGGGAAGGCTGGGTGCAGGAGGAAAGAGGGGGACCCCTGTGTAGGGCCAGATACTGAAGGGCCTGGGGAGCATGGAGGGAGGGGGCCACAGAGCTGGGGTGCCTCTATCTGCAGGAGGTATGGGCAGACTCACTGGGGGTTGGCTGGACCCATTAGGGGCCAGTCTGCCCTGCCTTCTCCCTTCAGGCCATGTGGCCTCCACAGAGGCCCCCGTTGCTGGGTACATGAGGGCATCAGTCAGGCCAAGCTGTCAGGGGTTGAAGTAGCAACAAGCCAAGAAGGAGTGCAACCTTTAACCACTTGCTGGGATACTATAAGCAAGAGACCAAGGTGACACGACCCCCCTCTCTCCTTCTCCACATTCCCCAGTGGCACAGGTATGGGGCACCATGCAGACCTGAGTCATCACATTGAGGGGACATGGAACAAGAGGCTCCAGGAGTTGTATGGACCCTGGGGCGAGGTGTAGGGAGCCTGGAGGGGACCTGGTCTTGAGTTGGAGTAGGGGAAGTGTCTTCAAGGTGAAGAACAACTTGGTTGGAGATCCAGGAAGGAAGGTGACAGGTTAGGGACACGGTTGTATGTGGGAGGACAGCCAGCCAGAGGAGCTGAGACCTTGACCGCAGTTTCCTCCAGAGGCTGTGTGCCCTGCTGTGCTGTATCAGGTGTTGGGAGGGAGTGTCCCCATGAGGCCTGCCAGGCTCAGCCTTGTGACTGCCCATGGTCAGGACTAAAAATTCACACCTAGAATCTTACCAGGAGGCGGATTCTTCAGTGGGAAAAGTGATGCTTCCACACCCCAAACGCAGAGGCTTTTCTCTGCTAATACCCTCTGCTGCTCCCACCTGCCCTCAGAAGCCCAGAGGCCCTCTCAGGCAGCTTCGTTTTTTGGTGGTGGCTTTTCCCATCCTGTCCCATCCACTCAGAAGGAGAATAGCACCACCAGCATCACGGACTCTCTTCCAGAGGACTTGTCTACAGGTGTGTGGCCCAACCTTGAGTGGCTGTGTACTGTCACCCACTGTTTATAAATATGGCTGTTCCCAAAGAGATTCTGGACTATCCTCACCAGCCTCCCTGCCCCATCTCACCAGAAGAAACTTATTAATTCCCTAACCTATTGCAGATGGTCTTAAAAGAAATGCCAGAGAACAAAGTTTCCTTAGATCAAAGTACCTTAAGATATAACTACTCTTATTCTATCCTGATGATAAAAAGAAGCAAAAATTTTCCTCCCAGTATAAAAGGGAAATGAGGGCAGTGACACTAAGTCTAATTGTGGACACATTTGCTTTGACCCCACCATGGCCTCTAATGACAGGAGCTTCTGTCTGTTGAGCACTCAGTAGTTGCCAGATGTGTTGCAGGGGCTTGGCATGAGTTACGCCATTTTAGAGGCCTTAACCTATTTTACTAATAGTTAATTGAGCCTGGGGGAAGTAAAGCAACTTATCTGAAGTCTCATAGATTAATAAGCTAGAAACTTGAGATTACAACTAGGTCCATCAGATTCCCGAGGCCCAGTGCACTTTCTGTTACTTTCTGCTGGAAATTTCCATGCTTAGTATAAAGCCGTATTTCTTAATTAGGAATACAATCTTATGTAACTTAATTGCACACTAAAGGTAGTGCTTTTGATCTCTCTGGTTATACTGATGTTCTCTTCCCTCTGCTTGCTTTTCTAATGACTAAACAAGGGCTCCAAGGAATAAAACTCTAAGCCTGTTTTGTTAAATTGTTTTGGTCTTCAAACAAAAATAGCTCCGATCAGTTCATCTTGTTTATCTGATAACCTAAAAATATTCCTTTTTTTTTTTCTCACTGTGGAATTACGTGTCTTTAAAAGATATCCTGCCCCTTCTTCCATTTGGTATTGGAATACATTTATGCTGTGGTGTCCAGCTGGAGATGGACATTTTGCCAGTTGACATCTGGTCTGGTGTCAGAAGCGAGCCTTACAGAGTATAAATTATGAGAGTGGAAAAGGAAGCTGGGCCTCAGTGACCAAGGTAGGCATGGTGGTGAGGAGCACAGGATGTCGAACCTCATGGCCTTAGTGACTCTCCAGTGTCTCAGTTTCCTCACCTGTAAAATGGGATTAAACAAGCTGCCCATTAGTGGAGAGGCAGCCTGAATAACAGCACCTCCAGATTGAATTTCTCTGTGCCTCAGTTTCCCACATTTATAAAGTATAGATAACAGTAGCTCCTACATCACATGTGTAGCTGTTAGTGCTTATTACTCCAGAACTCTGGAGAGGGGTAGAGTAAATGTGATGCTGAAGCAAAAGGCACTCATATTCCCAAACTCAGGCCACCTGTACTTGGGCCTGCACAGTGATAGCACATAGAAGTGACGCAGGAAGTCTGAGCACTATTACTTGCTCTCAAGGAACTTAAATCCTAAAATATATATGAAATAGAGAAAAAGTCACACAAATAATACCACATAAAAGTCATTTCACCGTGTTAATTGCCAGTGAGAAATGCTATATTTCAAAGGGCAAAATGAGACTGACAAAGAGGCTGAATAACAGTTTCCAA